CTTCAGGGTGAAGCGGCCGCCGGGTTCTCCACCTGTCTTCAAGGCGCGTTACGTGGCTCGTGGCTTCAGTCAGCGGTAGGGAGTTGACTACTTTCAGACCTTCTCTCCCACCCCGAAGATGACCACTCTTCGGGTACTGCTGCACGTCGCTGCTCAGCGTGACTACGAGCTTCACTCTCTTGACTTCAGCATAGCCTTTCTACAGGGCAGCCTGCACGAGGAGATCTGGCTGCGCCGCCCACCTGGCTTCACTGGGTCGTTTCCCCCTGGTACCCAGTGGAGCCTCCGGCGGCCAGTCTACGGTCTCCGCCAGCCACCTCGGGAGTGGCACGACACACTGAGGACTACACTTGCGGCTCTTGGGTTTGCTCCTTCTACTGCTGACCCGTCGCTGTTTCTACGCACCGACACTTCACTGCCACCGTTCTACATGCTCGTGTACGTCGACGACTTGGTCTTTGCTACTGCTGACACTGAGGCACTGACTCTAGTGAAGTCGGAGCTGCAGAAGAGACAAACGTGCACAGACCTGGGTGAGCTGCGCAGCTATCTTGGCTTGCAGATCACTCAGGACAGAGCACGCCGCACCATCACTCTGACCTAGTCACACATGGTGCAGCAGGTCCTTCAGCGCTTCGACTTCCAGTTCTCTTCGCCACAGTCCACTCCTCTGCCTACTGGTCACTCGCTCTCAGCTCTGCCTTTGGATGAGTCCGTAGAGCCGAGTGGCCCGTATCCAGAGCTTGTGGGCTGCCTCATGTACCTGATGACCTGCACTCGCCCTGACCTCGCTTACCTGGCACGCTACGTTGCGCCCTGGAGACACCATCCAGAGCACTGGAAGGCAGCTAAGAGGGTGATGTGCTACTTGTGCAGTACGTCAGGCATGGGGCTCGTGCTTGGAGGACGGGGTCCAGTTGTCCTCACTGGTCACGCAGACGCTTCTTGGGTTGACGACTTGGCTACGCAGCGGTCGTCACAGGGTTACACCTTCAGCCTTGGCTCCGGTTCTGTCTCTTGGCGGTCTACCCGCTCTTCTTCTGTTCCCAGCTCCAGCTGTGAGGCTGAGATCTACGCAGGGGCCATGGCTGCACAGGAGCTGCGTTGGCTCACCTACCTGCTGACCGACTTGGGCGAGGTGCCTCGTTCTCCTCCAGTTCTGTACGTTGATAACAAGGCAATGCTTGCCTTGTGTCGCGAACAGAGATTGGAGCACAGAACGAAGCACATCGCTCTTCGCTACTTCCTTGCTAGGGAGCTGCAGCAGCGTGGTCAGCTTCGTCTTGCCTATGTGGCCTCTCAGGCCAACACTGCTGATGTGTTCACCAAGGCATTTTCGCCTCGTGACCATCAGCGCTTCTGTACTGCACTTGGCCTTGTTCCTGTGTCTTCTCACTTACTTAATTCTTGACCTTGCCTGTACTGAAATCTATATTGTATACCTGCATGCCTGCACTTGTTAGGTAGTGATCACTGTACTGTTGCTTTTGCATATATATCTCTGCATGCGGACTGGCCTTGTGGCCCTTTGCTTGTGCTCAGATTGTGTGGTGACGTTGTGATCCACCCTGAGCTTGCTTTGCTTCTCTTTACTGGTCTTGTGACCCCTTGTTCTCCCCCACTTTGCCTATGGGGGTGTGTCAAATTATATATATGCTATATATGTTTAGGCTGTAGTGGGGTAGCCAATATGGGGTACAGCCCCTTCTAGGGTTTCATATTTTTACCCAACACTTTCATAGTTCATTCATTCCTGCCTAGTATTCTGACACCTCCTCCGCCTGCGACGGCAACAGTCAGGACGGAGGTGCAGCGCCAGCCTACACCTGCAACGGCAACAGCCAGGACGGAGGTGCAGCGCCAGCCTCCACCTGCGCGAGGACGCGGCAACACGCCTCGTCGAACGGCGCTTGCTACTAGAGGCAATGCTCGGCAGCGCACCGAATTCATTGACCTCGACACGTACATTGCTGCCCTCCCTGCTCCTTACGATGACCTGGGCGAGCTGGATGACGGCCCTATACAGCCGCCTGAAGTCGCCACTCCACCGGTCATGCACACTTTCATCATTACGACTTCCCCGCCTCGTGATACGGCGGCGCCAACTTCTCCCCCGGCTGCATCGACCCGTGGTCCCTCCACGAGCCGTACTCAGGGTACAGCGACGCGCGGAGGCACTATCCCGAATCATCAGTGGAGGCCTGATGAAGAGATGTTGCTCGCGGAGGTTAGGCACGACCTCGACGAGCTTATTCGCGGCACGCGCGGGATTCAAGGTCAGAACTACAACGTTCAGCGGTCATGAATGCACGGCCTTCCGCGGGGCCGTCTTTCACGAGCGCCTCAACCACCACGGTCCCCGAGAACCCATGGGGCGAGGGGCCGAGCGGAACAGCAGGTGACGAAGGTGAGCTACACGAGACTTTATGTGTACGTGTAAATTGGCCTGGGTCACTCGAAACAAAACTGGTTCCTTACTCTCGCCCATGTTGCGTGGCAGATCACGTCCATACAAGCGGAGGCGGAACAACTAACAACAACACAGGTATGGTCCAACGACTTCTGTGGTGTAGCCTTGGTGGTAAATACGGCTGCACTAATCATAGATGCACAGTCACGGCGCCACCTACACATGTGACTAGTAGTAGCTGTCGTGCCTCCCTATTACCACACTCTCCTTCCCCCCCCCCCCCCCCCCCTCACATCATTGTCACGTAACCACCCTAACACAATCTGCAGAAACGCCATCCATAGGTGCCTCACCGGCTCGACCACCTTCTGCCACACGCGTCCGCCATGGGCTACGCGGTCCTCTCTCGCCTCCTGCCAACGAAAGCACAGAAGGCGTAAGCACAGTTGCGACACAAGAAGGGGCTGCAATTGACAACCTACTGGGAGGGCGTATTGAGCAAACCCTCGAGCGCTTGCTTGACCGAGGAATGGAGCGGTTTCTGGAACATACCCGAGAGCTGGCCCGTTCTCTTCGGGATGAGCGAGACGCCAAGAAGCAAAAAGATAATCTGTCAGCCGATCACGGCGACGAGTGGGGGAAAAGCCCGGAGCGGTAGACGGATAGTGCGGCGCCATTGCAGCCGGACCGCGAAGCCACCATTGGTCCCGAACGCGCGGAGGACCAAGGCGAGGCCGATTACCAAGTGCGAGCTCGATGTTGTGAAGGGTAACTGCTGTCCGTATGGCCTCGCATGCCTTAGCTAGGTTGCACTCTAGGCGTTCTTGTAGAAGCCGCCATTTTGACTTGATGCGGCCAAACACTTGCTCCATTATCATCCTGCATCTTGATTGCTGCTTGTTCCATGTAGCTTCTCTTCCAATGATTACCTCGTTTGCAAGGGCCCGAAATGGTGTGAACATATAAGCCCTCAAGCCGTATGCCGCGTCTCCCACAATCACGCGATCACATAGGCCGCCAGCCTCTATCCTCGCTCGTGCAGGCGAGTTGTCCCAAACTCTCGCGTCATTGACAGAGCCGGGCCATCCGGCAAAGAAGTCCCAAATTGCACCCTGGGAGTCGCATATAACTTGCAATATCAGGGTGTGCTGTCCGTGTCTGTTACGAAAGTTATCAGCATGCGGACCACAGCGACGGCAACAAATATACGTGCCGTCAATGGCACCCACCACTCCAGGCAGACCGGACTCGTATCTAAACTCGGCCTGCATGCGGTCAGCGTCCATCCTGGTAGGCCATGTAACCCACTCGGGTGTGAGGTCCTCGCGCACGAAAATGTTGAACTCGTCGGTGAGTCTCATTGCAGTCACGTGACAGACGCCGAAGGTTAGACCAATTGCGCGGTAGCTCCATCCCTGGGCCATTCGCGTAATTACAATTGCCACACGGAACTGCGGTGGCATGTTAGAAGCCCAGTTATAAACGCGGAACCGTGAGTAGCGTGTGACGATGAAGTTGAAGACGTCACGATCAATCCTGAAATGATCATAGAAACGGTGGGCAGGCATTGATGAGATGAGTGTAATCCATCGGGTACGTGCCTGTCGCCTGTCATCTATGAGGTGCCGGTGTTGCACGTGAGTCAGTAGGACTTGGCAGAAGTTCTGACAGCGCTATTACGACTGGAGCAAAAACGACTTGGAAAAAGCCGTGGAAGAGTGACGTGATGAAGACGAGTATCTGCCGGGGGTCCATGTGAGTGTGACGTGTTGAATGTGACATGTTGAATTTGACGTCCTCTACCTAGCTTTTCTGGATTGGAGGGATCGAATTTCCCCGCATTCGACGGTAGTGTTGACGATTTTTGGATGGGTTGCATGATGTGCATCAGCGAGGCCCGAATCGCGGTTGTAATGCTGCGAAATGTCGAGAGCCCTGGCGACTCTCTTTTCTCGCTGAGCGATAACTTCGGCGACTGCATGCTTCCGAATCAATCGCTCCAGGTAGGTTCGGTTCACTTGATTGATGCCTGTCACTGATATCCCGCGATCAACGATCAGTCTCATTCACACACAGAAGCCTAATTTTGCACAAAACATTTACTGTACAATGGTTACTTTGGGGTAAATAGGGTAACTGAGCCGCACACCGATCGCCACCCGGGATCGCTCGTCTACTTTCACCGCGTCCTAACACTTTCCCTCCAGAACCTGGGTGGTTACCAGGGTTCGAACCAGTTTGCCGTGAGGAAGTCGCACGCAACACAGGGAAGGGTCGCAAGGGTCCCTGGCAACGACTTCGGCTGTTGGTTTGCACACCAAGCAGGAAACTGTAATTCAGGTCGACAGAAATCGACCAGTTCCTAGACTATTAGCCTGGCGTTCTGCTTAGATCTGGATTTTTCTCTCCAACTAGTGCAGTCTCAATCGCGATCCGTGCATGTTGTGACGCACTCCCGTCACATTAGGGTTACTCCCTCCGTCGCCTACACTCATCCCTCTCGTCGCGGATTCATTTTCGCAACCGTTTGCAACGCTCACTTCCCTCCCGTCGCCTTCGCTCTTTCCGCTCCATCGTCCCCTCTATCACCATGCCCTCCCGTCGTCTACGCTCACTCCTTCCGCCGCCCATGCGCACTCCTTCCCGTCGTGTTCGCTCACTCAACTTCCGCTGCCCACGCGCACTCACTCACGTCGCGCCCACTCACTCCCCATCCGCCTCCCACGCTCACTCCCTCCCGTCGCCCACACTCACGCCCCATCCGCCGCCCACGCTCACTCCCTCCCGTCGCGCTCGCTCACTCCCCTTACGCCGCCCATGCGCACTCCGTCACGTCGCGCTCGTTGACTCCCCTTCCACCGCCCACCCCCCTCCCGTCGCGACAGTCCCCTCCGTCGCACACGCGCATTCCTCACAATCGCAAACCTTCACTCCCCTCCGTCGCCCACGCTCACTCTCCCCCGTTGCCCACGCTCACTCCGACGGGAAGCGAGCTCATTCCCATTCCGTCGCCTATGCTCAATGCCCGTACGTCGCACACGCTCACTCCCCTCCGTCGCCCACGCTCACCCCCCTCCCGTCGCTTTCGCCCACTCCCTTTCCGCTGCCCACGGTCTCTCACTCCCGTCGCGTTCGGCCCCATCCGTCGCCCACGCTCACTCCCCTGCCGTCACACACTCGTACGACCCAGCCTCCACCCTTTCCCTCTTCATCTCCACCCTTTATCCCCTCTCATCTCCACCCTCACTCCCGGTAAAAACCACCCTTTCTACCTTCTCACCTCCACCCTTTATCCCTTCTCATCTCCACCCTAGTTCCCTTCTCAGAACCAGGGGTCCAGGGATCGGAAGCCTCCTTCTCACCACCACACTGCCTTGGCGCATCATTTACCTGTTCACGTGCCCCCTCGCCTCCCTCTCCTTCTCTCCTTCCTCTCCTTCCGCTCCGGCCTCACTTCCCTCTTCTCCCTCCCCTCCCTCTCCTCTCTCTCCTCCCTCACCTCCTCTCCTTCGTCACCACCTCTCCTCCCTCTCCGCCTCCCATTCCACATTCCCGCTGTGCAGGTTGTGGCATCAGCACCTGGGTTTCAAGAGAGTTTCCGTCCCCTTTTGTTCCCATCCCTCCAATCCTAAGCTCCTCCTCACCCCATCTCCTCCCCATCCCCGCCCCGAACGACCTCGCTCATTCCCTCCCATCGCCCACGCACGCACGCTCCCCTCGACCGACAAGGCGTTCTCCGCTTCCGTCGCATATGCGTACATCTCCCTAATCTCCCCATCCCTAATCTCCCCATCCCTCATCTCCCCATCCCTAATCTCCCCATCCCTCATCTCCCCATCCCTCATTTCCCCATCCCTCATCTATTAGTCCCTCATCTCCCCATCCCTCATCTATTAGTCCCTCATCTCCCCATCCCTCATCTATTAGTCCCTCATCTCCCCATCCCTCATCTCCCCATCCCACATCTCCCCATCCCACATCTCCCCATCCCACATCTCCCCATCCCTCACCGCCCCGTCCATCACTTCTCTGGTCTTCCTCTCCCTCTCCCCTCTCCTCTCATTCCTTACCCTGCTCTCTCTCCTCTCCCTCCTCCCTTTCCAATCGCCTCGCCACTCCTGCCGTGCTTCTCCCTCACCCCGTTCCGCCTCGCCCCATTCCGCCCCACCCCATTCCGCCCCATCCAATTTCGGCCCACCCCATTCCGCCCCACACCATTCCGCCTCACCCCATTCCGCCCCACCCCATTCCGCTCCACCCCATTCCGCCCAAGCCCCCTTGTCGCGCACCCTACTTCCCTCCGTCTCCCCATCTCTCCTCTCCCCATCCCTCCTCATACCATCCCTCCTCTCCCCGTCCCTCCTCTCCCTATCCGTCCTCTCCCAATCCGACCGATCGATGCCCCATACGTCCTCTCCCCATCTGATCGTCTCCCCATCCGTCCTTCCCCCATCCGATCCTCTCCCCCTCCCCTCCAGGTGTTTCCCACACTGTCCTCGGCCTTGCGTTCGCCGGGGAGCTGCTTGGGGCGCTGTGGGCGGATGGCGACGGGCAGAGTCGCGGAGCAGAGGCCTACGTGATGCTGCAGGGATCCCTTCCCCCTGTCCACCCAACCCCTGTTCCTCCCTTCACCACTCCCTCCCTTCCTGCATTCCCCCCTTCCGCCCTCCCTCACATCCTTCATCACTCCCTCCCTTCTTGCTTCCGCCCGCCCGCTCTCACTCTCTTCCCATTGCCCGCTCTCCTCCTCACCCCATCTCCTCCACACCCCATCAGATGCCTCACCCCATCTCCTCCACACCCCATCAGATGCCTCACCCCATCTCCTCCACACCCCATCAGATGCCTCACCCCATCTCCTCCACACCCCATCAGATGCCTCACCCCATCTCCTCCACACCCCATCAGATGCCTCACCCCATCTCCTCCACACCCCATCAGATGCCTCACCCCATCTCCTCCTCACCCCATCTCCGCCCCACCCCACTCCCCTCACCCCGCCCTGTACTATCCCCTCACCCCGCCCTGTCCTATCCCCTCACCCCGCCCTGTCCTATCCCCTCACCCCACCCTGTCCTATCCCCTCACCCCGCACCATCCCAGGCAAGCATGACAGAGGCTCAGACGACCTGCATGGACATGCCGCCTCTTGCTCCTGTTTTCAGCATCTCAAAGGCCCAAACGAGCTACATTGCAGAAGGGACAACAAAATGGAAACACAAAAGACTAGAGCAATGGCTCGAGCTTGTCTTTTGTCCTGGTACTGCATGCTTGCTTATGTCATGTGTATTTACATCTCAAATAAAATATATATGGGTTTAGAAGCTTTACATCTTATCACCTGATTTGTATACTGGTTTACTGTGAAAGGGTTACAAACAGAACTAGTAGAGGCTACCATAACAGCAGCATGAACAGCGGCTTGAGTACAGTATGAACATGTAATATGCCGTTGGATGTCACAATGAGGGCACGCAGCAGCCCCATGCTGCAATGAGTTGCTCCATGCTGCAAAGCAAAGCTCACAATCAGATGGAAGGTGGGAAAGACTGGAGAGGGAAATTAGAAACAGGGGGGGGATAGGAGGTCAGGAGGGAGAGAGGAGGACAGGGGGGGGAGAGGAGGACAGAGGGGGAGAGAGGAGGATAGGGGGGAGAGAGGAGGACAGAGGGGGGAGAGGAGGACAGGGGGGAGAGAGGAGGACAGTCGGGCTTGACGAGGCAGTAAGAAGAAGAGGAAGAGGTACGAAGATAGAGGAACAGGGAGAAGAGGGCAGGCGGGAAGGATGCGGGCCTAGACAGCGTGGAAGGCAAGAAGGGGGGGGAACAGTGGAACCAAGGGGGGGGAAACAGGGGAACCAGGGGGGGGAACAGGGGAATCAGGGGGGGGGAACAGGGGGAAAAACTGAGCGCAATCAGGGGGGGAAACTGAGCGCAGTCAGGGGGGGAAACTGAGCGCAGTCAGGGGGGGAAACTGAGCGCAATCAAGGCTGGGAACTGAGTGCAAAATGGGGTAGAAACTGAGCAGCGAGAAAGACATGAATTAGAATGGTCGTTGCGACGTGGGCGGATTGGGAGATGATGCGACTGAAAATGGAGAGTGAGAAGGGGGAAAGTGGCCTCCGCAAAATCAAAGCAGCAGCTATTGAAGGGACAATAGGTGAACGAATGGGAAGCGGAGAGAAGGCAGCGGGGTGGAAAACCAGGGCGTCGGCGCGAGAGAGGGGAGTAGGCATGGGCGACGGGGAAAGGAAGAGAGGGCGAATAAGATGGAGACTCGACGAAGAGTCGGCGGCGGGAATGAGAACGACGTCGACGCAGCGACAGGTGGGAGAGCAGAGGTTGACGGGGCGAGCGATGGGGAGGGGAAGCGAGGGCGACGGGCGGAGGAAGCGAAGGCGACGGGCGGGGGAAGCGAAGGCAACGGGCGGGGGAAGCGAAGGCAACGGGCGGGGGAAGCGAAGGCAACGGGCGGGGTAAGCGAAGGCGACGGGCGGGGTAAGCGATGGGACGGGCGGGGTAAGCGATGGGACGGGCGGAGGAAGCGAGGGCGACGGGCGGGGGGGCGGCGAGAGCGACGGGCGAGGTGTGGGCGGTGGGCGGAGACAGCAAGGGCGACGGTCGAGGGTCGCGAGGTCGGCAAAGTGCTAAAGTCTCATCACGCCCATTTTTTCCGTGCTTGACACTCGCGTCTTGCGCCTGTGTTTTCCTTCAATTGCATATGCGCGCGGCACCTACTATTTCAGGTTGTCTGCGATACGTTCACTAAAAAACCCTACCTGGTGTGCGATGGTCGGATTCTAAAAGCAAGTGGATGAGTTGTTACGACGTGTTGCGACCCACACGGATTGGGTCGACCACCCCCCGACCCATCACTTCTAGGAAGGCTGCATCGCGGGTCTAGCCGACCAGGTCGAGCCAACCAGACCCGGTTGGGTCTGCCTGACCTGGGTCGACCGGTTCGGCTCAACCAGGCCAACCAGACCCAACCCAATCGAGCTGGAGAAGGTTACCATAGTCTGCGAACTTCAGAGTTTTCGCGTAAATGTCGCCTCAAATTCGCCGCCCAGAATGATACCCTGTAATATCGATGCGAATTTTCCAGCTCACCATTCCCCCGCCCGGCAACTGCTTTCCTGCTCCCTCGAGGATGCACGGAAATCGACGGGAAATTCCGTGATTTCCCGAGTCGCGTTTCTGAAGATCTGGTCGGGTTGGGTTTAGCCGACCAGGTCGAGCCGACCCAACCCAATCTCTTTGGGTCGCAACACGTCGTTAGCTGTTCTGTTCCACCGATTTTCTTACTCTGCTCCAGTCCTCAGGATGTCGCCTTTTGTTTTCGCTTGCTCACAACTTTCGCGATTCTTACAAACCTCACCCAACCGAACCCGAACCCAACCCGAACCTAGCGTTGACTCAGAATGTAATTCAGGCTTCGGGTTTTAACCAAACCCCTCGGGTAAAAATTTCCGTACCCTGTTTGCAGCAGGGTAAATCAACATCTAGCCTGATCTGAGCAGGGTAGTTTTCGGCTAGTCCTGTTTCGGCTACTAGTTTGTGAGCGTGGCATGGCGACGTGTGGTCTGATTCAAGGGGGCGTTGGCAGTCCCGTGGGAGAAACAACCAATGAGGCAACATGGCGTGTCCCCGGCAACGAATCAGGGTTTTATGCCAGCGGTCACAAGCGACAAAGCTTGTTTGTGTGGGTGTGGTACAGTTTGTCACCACTCGGAGTATGACCTGATCCGCGGTAAAAAAGTTTCGATATCAGGGTAGTGTACACCCAACCCTGACACCATCAGGGTAACCATAAATTTTATCAGTGTAAAAAAAAACTTGCTCTTTTTGCAAAAGGGTAACTATCGTGGAATCCTGATTTTGGCAGGGTGATCCTGAAAAAGCGGCCGGCCTCCAGGGTAATCAGGGCGTTTTACCCTGATATTTTGGGCCCTGCTTGTACCGACCATTGAAAATGCGCGACGAGATTCAACGCGTCAGCCAGAGCAAATGGAAGATGAATGCCCGAAGCAGTACCAAGCAGCCTGCACATTGGCTGGTGCTTTATTTGTTATGAGTTGTGAAGCTGGCAAAGCTCAATATCTCGTTATAAGGCAGTTGTTTGTGAGCACATCTAAATCTCCTCCGTCTCTCCTTACTTCTCCCTAGTACACCACACACGCCGAATAGGAACCCTTTTCCCCTTCTTCACTGCTCCTTCCCTTTTCCCACTCCCTCCTCTCGTCTCCCCCAAATCCCCCTCCTCGCCTTCCTATGTCCCTCGTTACCCCTCTTCACCACTCCACTCCCAGGTGGCAGACTTTCGGACTGGGCAAGCTGGCAACTAAGGGAGCCACTCACGTGTCGACACGTGTCATGGGGACGTTCGGGTAAGTGGCATGGGTTAACGTAACGTAGCAAACCAGGGGGGACGCGATACGGTTACATGTTTGCACCCAGGGTCCGATGAGCAAGAGTTCATGGCATTGAAGAACAGTAGCGTACAGACTACAATGGGGGTCATTTACATGCTGCCGGTCACCTATCATCCATATCGCTTGCCCGGCACTTCAAAGCTGCGAGGGCTGCAGCTGCGGCCAGTGCAGTGCTTGAGGCGGTCCAGAAGGCTCTGATGGCGGAGAGGGAGGGAGGAGCAAGCGAGGGGGCGTGGATACAGTGAAGGTGTGGGCTGCGTGGGGTGAGGGAAGTGGGCAATGGCACTGGATAATGAAACCGGACAGGCTGGTGAGCTTAGGACGCGGCACCTGTTTTCATTTAGGCAGGATCGATCGTTGGAGGGGATCGATGTGCCGCTTATACAGTGTATTTGCGACGTCGCTAGTGCTTGGTATCCATGTTTCGCGGGAGCTCGAGAATGTACAGTAAATGGGTACCCAAACTAGTGGCACCTGCAGCTCGCACGATCGATGTGCCATGTTGCACACACCGATAGTGCGTTTTGGTTGGTGTGAGAGCACATCGCGCCACAGGTGACAGCCGTGATCGATCGACGTCGCCCACAGTCGCAGGCCAATTTTTTTCAAGTCGCTGCGAATGAAATTCCTGGGCGACCAACCAAGATTTTCCCTGATTGGCTGCGCAAATATTCCGACGTGGATCCAACCTTCCCGATCCTGCAATTTCGACCCTGGCACCTATAGCTCGATGTGTCTACCTCACAGCAAATTTGCAGTGTGGGCACATCGGTGTGCCGATCGATGTGCCAGGATCGATGTGAGGCCACGATCCTTCCTCGATCCTTGAAAAATGCAAACAGGTGCCGCGTCCTTAGGCGAGAGCGTCATGGCAGCACTGGCAAGAAGACCTGATGGCATGGCATGGCATGGCATGGCATGGCATGGCATGGGGGTGAGCGGCACGCACCTGGAAGTAGGCAACAAGCGAGGCAGGGAGGGAGTGGAAGGTGTTGAACAGCTGGAAGGGGTCCACTGACATGTTGTAGAACTCGTGCCCGTACACCCCCAGATCCGCATACACTATGCTGCCCACGCGCTGCCACGCACGCAAAAGGAGGAAGGGACGTTCTTTTGCACACTCACTTCTCTGCGATGTGACGTGAAGCATGCGCTGCGATCCTGCTGTGATGTGATGCGTGCCTGGCATACAGTGAATGGGCCCGAAGATGCACGTGCAGCACATGAGGTAGAATTGAGCATGGGCAGGGACACATGTGCGCACATGATCAGCCTCCAACTATGAACGCCTCATGCGCCTCCCAATGACGGGTGCTGCCACGCGCACCTTGTTGGCCATGCGCAGCGCATAGTAGGTGGAGGGGAAGGAGAAGCCCACCGCTATGAGGTACGCACTCTCGTTGTACCCCAACCTGCCGATGGCCACCCAGAAACACAACCAGCAGAACAATTGAGATTCAGCCACTTGAGTCCTTTTGAGAGAAACGAATTTATGGCAGCGTGAGCTGAAATAACAAAGAAGTGCTTGCATGTGCGTGCGTGCTGTGGCTCTCACTGCGCAAAGTACTGCGGGCCTCCCAGCTCGGCATCCTCCGTGTTGCCAAAGCGCGGCCCGTTCCTGAGAGCGCGGCCATCAGCTGTGAGCTCCACGCCCTTGTTCACCTGCCACCCCGCACCGCATGGCGCCACCCCAGCACAGCCACACACCCCACCGCACACCTCTCTGAGTTGAGCAGTACCCATGCATGCGCATTCGCTCCAACTGGGATATCCATCCAGGTTGCAAGACACGAAAAGCACCAACTGGAGGCAAATTCCAGGGCTTTGAGGAACATGAAGATAACGTGGCAACACAGAGCAGGAACACGAAATAGGATGGTGCATGGCATACCCGGTTGTTGGTGTAATTGGCATCACCAGGGCCGATGGTGGAGCCAGGCGGCAGTGGCGGTGGGTGAAAGGGCGTGTCGTTGAATGACGGCACTGGTGCTGCGCGATACCTGCCGTGCCGTGCCATGCGATGCAGGAGTTCGATGCACAAGGTGCTCACATGCTCGCAAATCCGTGCAGTGATTTTATCGGACAGTGTGTGCAGCGGCAAGGAAAACAAAGAATCTAATCCAATGCATCTTCAGCCACACAAATGTGGTGAACCGCATACAGAAGCCAGGACAAGCAGCAGTACGCAAGCAGGTGAGCAAGGGCAGTGAGTGAGGAGGAAGCGACATGTATGTTATGCACTGAATGGGATAACATCTCTAAGGGGGGCAGTGGGTGATGAAGAGTGCGGCGATGAGCAAGGGTGGAAGAGGAGAGAATGAGCAAGGTATGAGGGGCGAGTGGAGGGGGTACTTCGAGAAGGCATCGGTGTGCATGTCAGCGATGACGATCTGATGGGCGCACACCACACGGGGGTGGGAGCAGGTTGGGCAGAGCAATGCACGGCACAGATTGGCCACATGCAACCAGCACGAGGAACCAAGCACGCACAAGCCAAGCCATGGGCGGTTGCACGAGTTGCGTGTGTACTAATGGCATACGAATCGAATGGCATGTGCTGTGCATGGCACAAGATGGCAAAGCATGCATGCATGTACATCATGTGTGACGGCAGTGGGGCTGGAGTCAAGCCATATCTTCTCCACCAGGAGCGCCTCTCTGAAGTGGTCCGGGTCCAGTGCCCGCGCTTCACTTGACCTGGTTGGTGCGCACACAGCACACATGACCATGACACGGGGCACACCAATGAGGAGACAATGGAGAGGCGGATTTGAGATTCGAAAGAACATGGTCTGTTCTAAGGACGACGGATGGGATAAGAGGCAGTAGCAGAGGCAGCCCATATGGGCACACGATGAGAGCGAAAGAAACAACGGGGCGATGCAGCGTGCAGTGGCGCCCTGACAGCAGCAGCGGGGCGAAGGAGAGCCCGTCCACGGGAGGGCTGTCTGCAGGCGGAAAAACAGCCCCTGCCAGCTCAGCAATGGTGGGCGCCACGTCAATGTTGCCGATGAGATGTGTCAGATTCACCTGCAGGGGGTGACGTGACGGCAGAGGGCGCAGTGAGATGATGTGCGATCAAGGCACGGGAATTCACAGGTTGCAGTGACGAGGGCAGCAGCAATGCACACTGGCTGGTGCTTCACCATACACACGGGGCATGGGGTCGGTGGCAATGCAGCACATGCACGAGTGCAGCGGGCTGCTGGTAGTGTGCGGCATGACGCACGTTGGGCACTTTGGGCCCTGTGATGTGGAAGAAGAGGCGGATGTCCTCCTCGTAGAACGATGACTTGCCCGCTGCCATGCCGTGGTGCCTGCCACCCATGGTGAGGCATGGCATGGGAGAGGGTACAAGTTGTGGTGGACCATGCGAGCAGGTGCGTGGCAGGAGATGTGGTACGCATGCACGTGCACACGCACGCACCCGATGTGGTAGCCATTGTCAGTGGTGAATATGATGTACGTGTTGTCCGCCACTCCTGCTCGCATGCATGCACCACACACACACGAGGGGGAGTGAGCATACGATGCAGCAAAAGGGTCATGTGTCACTGGCAGAGAAGCAGTGCACTCCACCCGCAGCGACCTCACGTGCGTGGCAGCGTGTGTGGGCGGTGGCAGGAATGGAGTGGCATGCACATGTCAACACACACACTGCACCCGTCCACACTCTCTCCACCCTGCACCTGCACTCCCTCCTCACCCTCTCCCTCTGCTGCTGCTTCACGTGGGCCACTCCGCAAGCACACACCCCCACCCCACTCTACCCCGCCCCCCTCTGACCGTGGGAGAGCAGGGCGAGGGCAACGGCGTGCACGAGCTCGTCCACAGCAGCCAGGGTCTCAAGGCGCTTCTGGTGCAGCGTGTGGAAGAGTGGCTCGTACTCCGGGTTGAATGCCGGGTACACGCCCACCGCCGACACCTTGCTGCTGCGCCATGCATAGTCGCCCGGCCAGTTGGGCGCCGCTGGGATCTGACACACGGTGCACGGCGCGTGCGGGGGACGAGACGAGGAGAGGGGGATTGGAGGTTAGGCGGTGAGTGGAAGGTGCATGCTGACAGGATGAGAGTGTGAGGAGGGAGATAAGCAGTGAGTGGTACTACTGAGGCTATTAAGGTGTAGGGAGGGAAGGAAGAGCGTGATGGGGAGGGGAGAAGCGCATGGGAGTAGGCAGAGCATGCGGTGTGGCGCACCTGCACGTGGCTGAACTTGCCCTCATGGCGGGGCGCAGGAATAGTGGGCGCGTGTGCAGCATAGGGCGCGAGGTAGAGGAAGAAGGGCTGCTGCTGGCCGTGCTGGGCATGTGCAGCGTCACGGATGAAGCGCAGTGCTCGGTGGCGCAGCACATCCGTGGAGTAGTCCTCTGGTGCATCGCCAAACGAGCTGCGCGGCAGCAGGGCGCGGGGGACAAGGCAGTGCGTGAAGGGCACGGCAGTGCAGGGCTTGTGAATAGCGGACAGGTGGGGTGCGAAGGCCTGTACACTGCACTGTACCGTACCGTGGACTACTGGAGTGAACGTCATGCAACACGGCACCCACAATGCGCCACCATGGCATGTTATGGCATGGCAGTGCGGCGCGGAAAGCGTGGCGCACGCACCGTGGGGCGCCGTTATCGGAGGCGGTCCAGTTGTAGTAGTTGGGCACGCCTGTGAAGGCGAACCACTCGTGCCACCCCTGGGGCACGCGCGTGAGCGACAGCGGCTCCCCCGTGCGCGGGTGGGCTGCCGTGGTGCCATAGCCGTTGAGGTACTTGCCCACCAGCGCCGTGCTGTACCCCGCTCGCTGCCCCTCTCCCCGCCGTGGGGTACATGCACAGGGAGGCAGGGAAGCGAGAGAGGAGGGGAATAGCGGATGCAGGTGAATCAGGGGTGCAGACGGGTGGGGCCCTGCCTGCCATGGGCTGGCAGCATGGTGTGTGAGGGAAGAGCGGGCAGAGAGGGTGGTGAGGCCGTGGGTGCCTGTGCAGTCAACCACGCTCGTCCTCTCCTCCCCACACAACTTTCACTCACACAAATCTCGTTGTTTATTTCCTCATCCATGCCCCTCGTCTCGTCCCTCCCACTCCCCCACGCATACAGCCCGCGCACGTGGTCCCTCTTCCTGGGCCTGCTGCGTCTGCCATGGGGGCTCAATGGATGCCATGCACCCATGCCTGCTGCCCCATGCACACGACCCATGCGTCTTTCGCAACTGCACTCCCCGACCCTGCCTGCAACGCACTCCAGGTGAACACAGCCACCTCACCCTGCACTAGTCCCCTCTGTGCAGCCACTTGCCCCTCTAGCCCCCTCGCCCCTGGCGCGCGCACCTGCAGGGCGACAGCGAGGGTGTGCGGCTCGAGCCCCTCCTCCAGCACGCGGTACTCGCCCCCGCCCATGCCCGCGTCCTTGTTCCATATCACCTGCCACCCAAGCCCGCGCCAGGCACCAGCACGTGCGAGCACGGGACGGAGAGGCGCGTGTTAGTGGGGTGGTGCGCGCAGCACCCAGGGGTGGGTGCGGGGAGTGTGTGGGCTGGCAGAGTGAGGTGCGCGCGCGCATGGCATGGCACGACATGGCAACACAGAGAAGCCCCGACCCAACACCCGAAGTGAGCAGCACAACAAGGCTGCTGCTGGTGCAGTGCACGGCAGGGTGCACTCACGCCAGTGTTGTGCGAGCAGCGGCCAGTGAGGTAGGAGACGCGCGAGGGGCAGCAGATGGCGAAGTTGGCGAAGTAGTTGCTCAGGCTCGCGCCTTTGCTAATGACGTGCTCATGTGTCAGAGGCATGATCTCGCGCGCTGTGCTCTGGTGGAAGAGGGGGGCGGGGAGGCACGCGGGTTGAGAAGGGCGCGGGTTGAGAAGGGGCGCGGGTTGAGAAGGGGCGCGGGTTGAGAAGGGGCGCGGGTTGAAGACACGCCAGCGCACTAGGCACGACATGCCTCGTGACTCAGTGGGAGCGTGGCAGGCCGCTGTGCGCGGAGGCTCACCCCGAGCAGCAGGTCGGTATCGTCCACCATGATGAGCACGATGTTCGCCCCACCACCCCCGCTCCCACTCCCGCTGCCGCTGCCCCCCTTCCCTGCTGCTTTCCCATCCTTGCTCCCACTTGCCCGCCTGCCACCGCGGCCACCACCGCTGCCGACGCCGCTGCCTGGCGACTCGTCGTGAGTCGCGGAAGATTCGCCAGCCGCCTCTTGCCGAAGTTTTTTCGCAACTTCCTCTCGCAGCTTGCCCAGGCCCCAGTCAGCCGCGCGGCCGTCCTGAGGGAGGAGAGAGTCCTGATCGGACGGCTGCAGAGCCGCCACGTGTGCGAGACGAGAGGGCGCAGAGAAAGGATGGAAAGCAACGAGCGAGACGAGAAGGAGAGGGTGGAGCCACGCGGCAATTCCGCCGCCCTGCATGGCGAAGTGGAGAGTTATGTTTGAGGCAATTTAGGGCTGTGTGCAACATCGGCAAGGAGTCGCCCCCCCCCCCCCCCCCCCTCTTCCCCCTCCTTGCGGTAACTCTGGGCGTGTTTATCATCCACCATATCCTATATCAATCCGACTCGATTACAGTCACGTTGATGAGTGCTACAATCTACTGAAAATACATCCAACTCTTATACATGTTATCTTATTGCCCCACTCGCTTAACTCAAAAGCAGAGTCTCAAATAGCCCAAAACTGCGTCTTCGTTCTTATATTTGGTTGAGAAAACCTAGTGTCAAACTTTACATATGTTTAGGTGCTTATTTATACCGGTATATGCTATGTGTGCACTTTGTGTTAGGTTGGGTTAGAGTTAGTTATTACTACCCTTGTATGCACCCGTTCTTGTCACTCTCGTTCATTTCTCTCTCTGACATGCTATCAGCTAGGTTAGGAACGTTCGTTCTCGTTGCGCCTACCCTAGCTCGTCTGTTTCTCCTAGCCCGCCCGTTGTGCCCGAACTAGCCCGCCCCGTCACGTTTCCCTTAGGCCGCTTAGATGCACCTCGACCTAGGCCGCCCGTCATGGCCCCCTTCACGTCGCCCCGTACTGCCGCCAGTACTAACGTCTGTACAGCCGCCCGTACTGCCACCCGTTCTTCCGCTCGTGCCGACCTGCTACCGTTCCTCCTCCTGTGGCCGTTTCCTCACCTTTCCTCGTACTATGTCAACGTAGCAGCAACGACCTCAGCAAATGCAGTGCCGGGTTCAGCAACACCACCCACTACAGCCTTAGAAGTGGGTCCCTCCTCAGCAGTGGGGTCCTGTCGGCCTTGAGAGTGCTGGCCGTAGTGGAGGTTTGCCATTGCATAATACCCCTACCCGACCCTGTCAGTACATGCCTCAGACCAGTCCATGCCACGGTTTCGTCAGCGGGTGTGCTCACTCTCAATGACAAGTGCTTTGGCCACCCCATCGACCTTTACGGCCTGCGGTTCAGTCTCGGCACACCTGCCCCTGACTAACCCTCACTGCTCCGCCAGGGCCACTAGGTGTTTACTATGCCTATGTCTGGCGTGCGTGCTGTTTTATCTTTTGAACCTGACATGTCTGCTGTGGACCCTAATTGTGCTGAACCTTATTATTTGTGTGTGCATAGACTAGGATCTGTAGCTGTTGCTAGTGTAGGTTCTTACATTTTTGCTAGCTCAGGTGCGACGACCACTGCCGCGTCCCTCTCAGTCACGCTCGACTTTGGCGCTTCCGGTGCTTCTTTCGTGACCACAACGGCCTCACGCCACTTCTGACACCAGTCTCAATCGCTTTGGCCGAAACCACCTCAGAGTTTGCAGCTCTATCGCACTTCCGTGTCTGGCAATCCCCTCAGGTTCCCTCTTAGGTTTGCACCTTCCCCCAATCTCCAAGAACTTGGTGAGTGTTGGTAGTCTTCAGGACCTAGGCATCACCATCACCTTTCCTGGGCACACGAGGTTTGCGGTCTGTATAGAAGCTACCATTGGGGCGCCCCATGGCACGTTCTCCCGGGAGCCCGCGTCAGTTCTCTTGCACACTGCGTCCTTCCACGTTCCGGCATCTAGTAAGGTAGTTGCGTGGTGCTCGTGTCGGTCGGTCACTTACTTGTCGCTCCTGTGGCACCACCGCCTAGGTCATCCCTCCTACCCCCGTCTCTGTCACATGGTTCACCACCGTCTGGTTTCAGGTCTCCATGTGTCCCTCACCCCACTCCCTCCCTTATCTACGCCACTGTGCCCTCCCTACATCGAGGGCCGGCAGTGGCCCGCCACTCACTCATCCTCGTTTCCCGTACCACTGCCCCCCTTCAGACTTTGCGCATGGGCGTTTGGTGCCCAGGAGTGCACCTCCTCGTAAAATTGGACGACTACCCTCATGTCCCTCCTCCTGTTGTCCTTTCCCCTCCTCATTCGTCCTTCGTGTCTCCCCTCCTCCATTCTTCGACGCTCTTCGTACCGTTTGCCCTACAGTTTTTGATGTCCTTCTTCCTTGGTCACTGACCCTACTAATCCGACACAGTCTGTCTTAGCTGTTATGACTGTTGTCGCTGAATTTGCCTTCACCCACCGCCTTGACTACGCCACTCAGTTGGTGTCTAAGGCTGCTCGTCCTCACTCTCGCTTGGGTGCTCCTGCCTTTGACTTGGAGGTATTAGGAGAATGGCAGCTTGAGCTGGCTTTCCTTGCGGCCACTGCTCCCCACCTCTATGCCATGATGCTAGCCCTTGAGGGTGACCCATACGTAGCTGACATCTTGACTCCATGTACTTACAATGAGGCAGTTTTGGGACCCTAGGCCTCTAAGCGGATAGCAGCCATGGACGCAGAGATGGTGTCAAACTTATATGCTATAGTCTCTCTAGGCTGTAGTGGGGTAGACAGTATGGGGTACAGTTTTCTAGGGTTTCATATTTGTACCCAACTCATTTCCTAGTTCATCATTCATTCCTCATTTCTTCACATGGTATAGAGCAGGTTCCCTAGTGGGAACTTTTCCTAGGGCCCACCGAAAATCGAATTTTTTTTTTTCCTGCCCGGAGCGCGCGTCGCCCCTGCCCGAGGGGCGCCCCGTGGGCCGCCCTCCAGTCGCGTCCCCTGCCCCTAGCGGCCCGTCGCACCCTCTTAGAGGCCCCCCCCTTCACGGCCCCTCGCGGCCCCCTTCTCGGCCCCGTCGCCGCCCTACGCGGCCCCGTCGCCGCCCTTAGCGGCCCCGTCGCCGCCCTTAGCGGCCCCGTCGCCGTCCTTCGCGGCCCCGTCGCCACCCTTAGCGGCCCCGTCGCCGCCCTTCTCGGCCCCGTCGCCGCCCTTCACGGCCCCGTCGCCGCCCTTAGCGGCCCCGTCGCCGCCCTTTGCGGCCCTGTCGCCGCCCTTTGCGGCTTCGTGGAGGCTCTGTTGCCGCTCTTTGTGGCCTCCTCTCGGCCCCTTTTGTGGCCCCTCCCCGGCACCTTCACCGCCGTCGCCGCCGCCGCTCCTGCCCCGGCCCTGCCGCCGCCGCTCTTGCCCCGGCCCTGCCGCCGCCGCTGTCGAGCTGCAGCCGCCGCTGCCGTTGGGCCGCCGCCGCCGCCGAGCCGCCGCTGCCGCTGTCGAGCCGCCGCCGCCGAGCCGCCGCCGCTGTCGAGCCGCCGCCTTCGAGCCGCCGCCTTCGAGCCGCCGCCGCAGCAGCCGCCGCCGCCGTCGAGCCGCCACCGTCGAGCCGCCGCAGCCGTCGAGCCGCCGCCGCCGTCGAGCCGCAACCACAGCTGCCGCCACAGCCGCAGCCGAGGCACGCCGCCGCCGCAGTTGAGGCCCTGTCCCTGCCGGCGCGCCTCGGCCTTACCCACCCGGACTGGTAAGAGCACTTCCGAGCAGCGCCTCTCCCACTGCGCTGCCTCTAGCCTGCTGCTCTCACCGCTAGACTGCTGCTGTCATGGCTACCCCCAGTGTCCTTACCTTTGATGCTGAGGGTCGGGCTGTTGACTTTGAGGTCTGGGTCGATGATCTGCAGCTTTTCCTACAGTGCGATAGGACAGACGGAGTCTCCCTGTTCGATCTCACGTCTGGTGCCTCTCCTGCCCCGCCTGCTGATGCTGACAGCACTGTTCGCTCACAGTGGGCCACACGCGATGCTGCTGCCCGTCTTGCTGTGCGTCGCCACTTACTGACCGCTGAGCGTGCGCATTTTAGTCAGTACAAGAGTGCTAAGACCTTGTACGACGCTGTAGTTGCACGCTACTCTTCCCCTGCCATTGCTGCCCTTAGCCGCCTCATACTGCCGTACCTGTTCCCTGACCTCGCCGCCTTTCCTACAGTCGCTGACCTCATTACGCACCTTCGCACTAGTGACACTCGCTACCGCGCTGCGCTTCCTGCTGAGTTCTGCGCCAAGAACCCCCCCCCCATGTACATCACCCTCTACTACATAGTCACCCGGCTCCCTGACTCCCTTCGCTCGGTCAGGGACCACTTCCTCTCTCTTTGCCCCACCACACTCACCATTGACCTCCTCGAGGAGCGCCTCCTGGCAGCAGAGAAGAGTATAGTCACTGTAGGAGCCTCTCGTGGTGACCCTCGTACCCCCTTCTTTGAGGGGTGCTCCCCCTCCCCCCTCTTGCCCTCTGTTGCCTCTGCTGCTGCGGCCGACCTCGTTGGCCTCGAGTCGGTCGGAGCTGCGTCTGCCCCTAGCGGGAGACGCCGCACCGGCAAGGGCAAGGGGGGCAAGGGCGCTGGAGGAGCTGGCGGGGGCGGTGGAGGTGGCGGTGGAGGCGGTGGAGGGGGTGGGGGTGGTGGTGGGAGTGGTGGCGGGGGTGGGGGCGTAGGTGGCTGCAGTGGAGGCGGAGGAGGCGGCGGCGGTGGCGGTGGGAGCGGAGGAGGCGGAGGTGGCGGCGGTGGCGGAGGTGGCGGCGGCAGCGGTGGAGCTGGTCGGGGCGGCTCTGCGCAGAGGGGTGGCTCCGGTGGTGGTCAGCGCCAGCAGCAGCAGCGCACTCGTGAGACCCCGACCCCCCAGCAGCTTCGTGAGTGGTACGCTGGGCGTCAGCGGGGTGGGGGTGCTGGTCCCTGTACCTACGTCCTCCGTACCGGCGACCGCACTGGTGAGCAGTGCGGGGGCACGCACTCCACTCAGCGCAACTTCGGCTGCCTGACGGACGCTTGGCGTCACCAGTTCCATGACGCCACTGAGATCCCTCGCTGGGGCGAGCTGTTTAGGGCGGGGGTTGCTATCTTTGATCTTGATTATGATGCTATTCTTGCTGCCATGTATGCTGTGTCTACTAGTGATGAGGGTGACTGTTACCTGTGTGTTCCGCCTGACCCGGGCATTGGGACTGCTGCTCTAGGTGCTGGTGAGGCTGCTGCTCTAGGTGCTGGTGAGGCTGCTGCTCTAGGTGCTGGTGAGGCTGCTGCTCTAGGTGCTAGTGAGTCTGCTGCCCCAGGTGCTGGTGAGTCTGCTCTCTCAGGTACCACGTCGGCTCAGGCCTCCCAC